AACCACATTGTGTTGTGGAGATAGCACAACATTTCCACGATTACAAAGATCTGTTCTTAGTTCTATCGGGCAACTTAAATCTCAATAATTCTCTCACCAGGGGGAACCCAAAGACATTTTAGAAACTAGGTATGAACTTTGATTCTGCCCCCCCCCCCAGGAGCTGCAATATCTCTGGAGTAGGAGTGAGACAATGGAGGGACCAACAATTTCTGGCAGTAATTCCAGCCAGCACCCAGCCTCAGGCCTGCTTGGATCAGTGATGCTGAGTGGCTAATTCCGAGCCTTGCACCTCTTCTTATAACCAAGAAAAACAGAGACAATGCACTGCCTATTCCTCACTATACTTCTGTGAGGATAGATCATTACTATTCTTTTAATCAGTGATAGTAATAATTTTAAACAAATAATGAAAAGAATAGCTGGACTGTGCTGAGGATTTGCTGAGCCCGGTGGTGTCTATGTACAGCTCTATGTGTGATCTCATTCTCTCCTATAGCGGTCAGATGGGCTGGCTCTTAGCTAAGGTGGTAAAGATCAAACTATGGAAGTTGGAGGGGTCAAGTAGCTTTCCCAGGGCCAGACAGTTGCTGGTGGTAGAGGTGGCATTTGAATCCAATATCCATCATTTCTAGTGTCAGACATATGCTAGATGTGTATTCTCTTTTCCAGTAGTTTGTAATTAAGAAAAATCAGCATGTGTACAAAGACTTTTAAAGAAGAAAATGATAGCATGCATACCAGTCAAGACTTAATAAGTTCAAGGTACCTCTTTGTTCACTGGGGACAAGCTTCTTTTCACCCATCACTAGAGTCAAACGAACAGTAAAACAGGATGGAGTTAATCTAAGTTTTAGGTGAGAGAGGAGTGTTCAGAAGGAAGGACTGAGAAGTGTGGGGAAAATGTATCCTTTTATGTCCAGGCTCAATGAAGACCGACAGCTGTGTAGAAATGGGATTGGACAAAAAGGTTGAGGTCTTACATACTTGTGAATGAGAGGGAAACTCAGCAAACAGCTGTTTGGGTTTTTTTGCCGTTGAAATGAAGGTCATAGAAGCCACATACTACCAGTCAAGGTAGTTCTGAGAATTTCTTTGTAAGGATTCCTCACATAGAGAATTAATTTATGACTGGCCTTGGAGAAGAGGTTCTGGCTTCTGTGACTGGTAGAGGGGTATGGTGGGGACAGGAGGCAGAAAGGGCCTTCACCTCTGATGCTTTTGCATTTCCATTCAAAGTGTTCAGCTTCTGTTGTCTACTGCCCCATTAGTTTATACTGTATAAATGCAAAAATATTTCACATTATATGTTTACATACACACACGCACACACACACGTGTGTGTGTGTGTGTGTGTGTGTGTGTGTGTGTGTGTGTACATTAAAATTTATTAATGTGGGGTCATTCAAGGACTTCATTCCTCAACTCTCTTGTTAAGGTGAGTTTTCATCCTCTGTCACTGTCCTGTCTCCTCAGTCCTTTCTTCCAGAGTGAGCTCAGGTCAGCCCAGGGCTGAGGTGGAGGAAGGGGTGTTGAGAAATTCATCTGGAAAGGTAAAGGCAATTTGTTCCAGGATGATGGATGGGTGAGGGGAGCAAGGGGTGGGGGGAGAGGACAAGGAATAGGGAGGAGGATAGAGGCACACAGAGACAGTGAAGATACAGAGAAAGGGAGACGGTAGTGGGGGAGTCCCTTACAGGTAGACAGAGAGGGTAGAAGGAAGCAGAGGGAGGGGAGCCATGGGAAATCAGGCGAGACAGGCACAGGTAGCCTGGAGGCTAGGGGTAGAGAAGACGGTCTCTGGAGCACTGGGCACAGATGTAGATTCAAGGGTGTTAGACAGTAGGAAGGCAGGGAAGGAAACAAGAGAACTGCAGCAGGTGCTGCTTTTTGGTTCCCTTTTCAAATTCTTTTATTGATTAAAAAAATTGGACAGGATCTTGTTGCATTGCCTTGGGTAGATTCAGATTACTATGCACCTACTTCAGCTTCCCCAGGGCTGGGGTTGCGGGCATGTACCATTCTGAGTTTAGGAGCTCTTTTGCCTGGCTGTGTGAGTCTGTCTGTTTATATGAGCGTCTTCTATGGACTGTAGTTTTGTTAGGCAAGTATGTCTCTATGTACACAAATTCACTTTATGTAGAAGGACCCTGGGACCACCACTCTACTGTGTCCTCCCATCTCCACTAAAAATGACAGCAATAGCAATCACTGCAAGGTGGTTGTCAGTGTTAAACATTAAAATCTCTTCCTTAAATAACAGTGTACATTATTTAACAAAGATCCTAGAAGATAAAATGCAGACAGCCTTTTCTTTCTCTTCCTCAGGCTTATCCACTGCTCCAAGCTGGTCACATAAGCTCTTAGTTCTTATTCCTTGTTTATGCCCAATGTCACTGCATCACCAAGGCCATCAGTTCCTCTTGTCACTAGACCTCTCTGTGTTCCTTCACTTAGACTGCTCACCTGACTCTACATCTCATTGCCACAGCTTCCAGATCTGCTCCCCACTGTAGCCTCTCTTTGATGAGGCCACTCTAAGGCTGCCACTAGGAGTGTCAAAATCTCACTTCATCCCATCTGTTTCTAGCATGGTCTATCAATTGTTGCTTCTTGTCAGCAGGATAAAACCACTCATTGGCTGCCTTCCAGGGCTAACCAAAGCTGACTTACCTGTATTTCCAACTTTCTCACCCTTGCCCATACTCTAATCTTGGTCATCACCAGCCACTGCCAGTATGCAGGACTGGTTGGCTGCTTCAGTCATGCCCCTCCCCAACAAATTGGCACCTTTCAAACCATACCTTGAGCCTCCTTTGACTGTCTCAAAAAAATGAGATCACCTAGATAGACAGGGAAGAAAAAGGCAAATTTCGAAGTGGCTAGAGAATGAGGCAACTGCACTGTAACAGGACATCACTTGACATGGCTGACTAAGAGGACCACTGATTATACTTTGCCTCATTAAAATGGCATCCCCATATTATTAACCTGGTAAAATTGCCTATTCTTACTATGCAGGTGACACTATGCCACATATGGAAAGCCCTATATAAGAACAAACAAACAAGCAAGCAAACAAACAAACAACACTAAAACAGGAGAAATTTGACTGGGGAAAATCCCATCCCATTCTCTGCCCATGCCCCATGCCACTTAATTCAAGAATAATCCTCTTGTCCATTGAGATTCACCGTAAAATGAGCTATCCAATACTGGATAACATGATCTCTTGAGAAGCCTGCATTCACATCCTGAGTGTGTGCCTCTGTCCTGTAATAAGTGTACCCCCAGTTGCTCTTTCTGTCCACCTGCCTCTGAATTCTTTCTCTGACAGTGCTGGGAACCTGGAAGCACTGAGAGTTCTCAGTCTGGTCCCTCTATCTTTGAAGCCTACCCATCCTTGACCACAGGTAACAGAAAGGCCATGCTCAAGAGTCTGTGAGTCCCATCTTCCCAAGAAGGTGACCAACTCCTCAACCCTCATCATCAAGGCTTCATACCTCTGCATCACTTCACACAAGGCTACACATAGGTCCTGGGCAGTGTACATCTGGACATTTGGGGGTAAAATTCCAGGTACTGCCCTTTTCTTAGAATGGGGAAAGAATATAATTTCATTCAAGGGATGATTTTTGATGACATACTATGTGCTGGTAGAGTAAACATAGGGCTCAGCATAGTGCTTGGGGAGAGCAGGCACTCTACAGATGACGGCTATTTTCATGCTTGTATTTGCTAGTGCCATGAGGATGAATAAGACACTGCACTCATCTTCAGCCACTGTGTACCAGTTATCCTTGTTGTCCCAACAGGTACTGGCTGATCATCAGCTTTCTCTGAACACTGTTCCCTTTGTGCCCACTCCTGCACCTGGAAGGCATGGAGAATGCCGACTGGAATAAGACTGAAGAACCAGAGGCACCCTTCCGCTATTCCCCCTTCCACCTCCCATGTGCCCTTGGCCTCCTGCTGGAGAGGAACATGCAACATGCTGTCAGCTTCCTTTCTTGCCTTTGGGGAGCAGCAGACAGAAGGGCGTCTGTCAGGACTCTACTGCAGTAGAGCAGCCACCCTGCCAGTCACCCATCACTCCAGGCCCTATAAGTGCCAACCTGAAATGAGGTGACTCTGCCCCATGGAATTAGGATTTATGCATAACATATTAAATTTTTCATGTAAAGCTATCTGTCACAGATAATTTGTCAGATTCCGAGAAGGCCAGGATAGCTTTCGTCTGTGAGGTGAGAAATATGTATCCAACAGTGAAGTCACCACAGACTTCTCAGAGGCCCTGATACAGGCCAGTTGCTCCCCTGGATGGGTGGGTAGGTGAAGAGCAAAGTCCAGCTTTTGGACAGAATTTTCAGGTTGTTTTCACACCTCCTTCTTGCTCTCTTTCCTTTCACTTAGCTTTTCCACAGTGGTTGTAGTTTAGCCTTGCAGCGGACACAAATATTTGCAAGTAAGAGTGAGTCCTTTACACACTTATCAGAAAACAGCCCTTGTTTCAGAGTGCTGACTCTACAGGAAGGAGGGCCCCATACCTCCCAGGGGAGGCAGAAAGCTGGTTCTCTGGTGTGAGGACTGAGGGGCAATTCCAAGGTTGCTTCCCTCCTACAAAGTAAAGGACAGCTCTCCTCCACAGGAAGATGGCACCTACCGAAGGAGGCTTTGTTCAATAAACACTCTTCTGGTCACTTGTCTGGGGGCAGGTGTTTACTTAGGCCTTGCTGTCTCGACTTAAAAAACATTTTCTCACCCCTTTTAATCTACAGAACAGACCAGGGATTTTTTTAGGGGTGGTGGTGGTGAGGTGCTTTTGTCTGTTAGGACGTTCTAGATAGATTTACAGAAGTCCCTTTGTTCACCAGGTATTGGTAAATGGCTTAGGCTGGTGACTACTACCTTCCCTCCCACACAGAGCACAAGATCTCCTGGTCCCAGCAGGCATTATCAAGAGGAGTGAGAGTCACACAGGGGCTCAGAGACTTGCCTACCTTTCTCTCCTTGTCACCATACTCCACACCCAAAGTATCCATGGCCCGGACGATGGCTGCCAGAGACTGGATGGTGTTGCTGTAGACAACAGGCTTGTACTGCTTTACGTCTTCTCCAGAGAAGCCATCTTCATGGATGATCCTGGAGGAAAACACAGGTCACACCTGATGAGTATGGTGTCCTCAGTCCACACGGACAACACAGGGCTGGCAGGTCACAGGGCAAGCCTTGGCTGGCTTCACAGAGGGAGAACTGGGAGAGCTGGGCCTCGGGGAAATGACGGATTACTGAGTTGCTCTACCCAGGCTATAACACCAAAAAAACAAAACAAAACAAAACAAAAAAACCAACAACAACAACAAAAACAAAACAAAACAAAAAAACCAACAACAACAACAAAAACAAAACAAAACAAAAAAAAACAAAATAAAACAAAAACTCTACTTATCTGAGTTACTGAATAACCTTGAAGTATAGACTATCGAAAACAATATAGTCTTCACATTCTACATCCAGGGAAAGGAACAAGGGGCTGAACAGACAGTTGAAAACACTGCAACAGGAGCAGCAAAGGCGAATCGTTTATCCCAAGTTCACTGCTGCCATCTAAGAACACAGGGGGGCCCTGACTTGTATGCACTCAGAGAATCCTGCTCAAGATGCCTGCAAAAACTCAGCAAATGAAAGATACAATTTCCATCTCTCTGTCAATCCCTGCCCCTTCCACTGGTGGGGACCAAACCCAAGCTCCAATATACTGCTAGGTGAGGACAGTGCTCTAAGGGGAGATGGCAGCCACACCCACAGCTCACTCACAGTGCTTTTAATGAAGGTAGAGTGATGCCTGGCTTAAATGAATAACCACCCTAGTCCATGCCCATCAGAAGAAAAGCCAGCAGAGGAGGGCATTTCCCTACTCTTTCACAGCTGGGATTAGCTGGACTCACCCCGTTCTGCTGGAATCTCAACAACTGAAAGTCCACACAGGGGACACCACAGATCTGAGGTAGTGTGACACCCTCTGGCAGCCTTTGCTACATGCTCTTAGCTGACAAGGATCCTGGGAAGAGGAAATCACATCCAAACTGCAAGAATAGTCTTAAATGGAAGTAAGGAAGGAGCAGACAAGTTTTAAGGACAACATCAGGGATTATTTGTGCTTTGATAGACTGTGTGAACCGTTTTAAGGTCACATTTCCAGAACAGGAATTAATACCACATGTAACACACGCAGTGAAGATTCAGCATGAGAGCTGAGCCTTCCTTCTACTGCATCAAAGCCTCTGTCCATGCCTTCATTACCTCCTCTCTGTCCTGGAGAACACCACACACAAACATCTTGAAAACAGCATATGAGATTAATTTCATATGCTGCTTGCCTAAACCATGCAGCTCACCATCTGTTTTTGCAAATTCACAAGATTGGGCAACCATAACTGCATTCTAACTGTAGAATGCTTTCCCCCCTTTCCCAAAGTTGCCCTGTACCCATTACCAATCACTCTGCATCCCCACTGCAATCCTCAATCACCACTAAGCTACACTGATTCTATAAATTTGCCTAGTTTGGGCTTCCAAATAAATGAAATTATATGATATATGTGTGTGTTTATGACTGGTTCTTCCATTTATCAAGTCTTTTAAAGATATGCCCATGTTATAGCATGTTTCAGTGACTTGCTCCTTTTTATTGCTGAATAATATTTCTTTGTATGGGTATGCTACCATCCACTTACTGGTTGATAGACAGTAACTCCTGTGGCAAAGTGAGAGTTAATGCTGGCTGTGGGTCTCCAATCTGAGTTTCTCCAAGAAGCAGAGCAAAACAACTCTGTGGACATTTTGTGGGTTTGATTAGTGCTAAATCTGTTCTTGTAAGTGCTTCGTTTTATTTGAAAAGATTTATTTAATGAGTGTTTGCCTGCATACATGCAAGTGCACCATATGTGTGCCTATTGCTCCCACAGGTCAGAAGACAGCATCAGATCCCTCAGAACTGGGGTTACAGGCAATTGTGAATTGCTTTGTGACTGCTAAGAGGGGAACCTGGGTCCTCTGCAAGAAAAGAAGTCACTCCTATCTGCTGAGCCATCTTTGCAGCTCTCACAAAATTTTCTTAATAGAGAATTGTTGTCAAAAAACCCAGAGGTTTGTGACCCCAGAGAATCTCACAAGGAAACACTAGGTCTCTGCATAAAGCTGGGGAAGTGACGAGAACTAATGAAAGTGGTGTGTTCTGACAGTGGACAACAGGCTGTGAAGGTGGCTTGTGGACTGCATGCCCTGGCCAGCACAGCACAGGCTGGAGGAGCCAGGCACGCCACAGGGCTCCTGGGTTGCAGAGATGAGGGTCAGCACTCAAAAGTCAAGGCAGCTGGAACCGAGACTGCAGAGAAAGAATTCTTGGCATCTGTGTACGGCTCCTGGGGGGTCTTTGGCTGAATAGATGAGACTTCACAGCTCACAAGAAGAGCATCAGAGAAGGAATGACCATCAGGGGGCTTGGAGGCTGGACACTTGCCAGCACTCCCCCAAGCCAGGAGATGAACCTCCCAAATGCCTGAGTGGAGTCCCCAGGGACTCTGGAGCCTTCAGCAGAGATGCCAGAGGCCACAGGAACTAGGTTAAGACAGCTCTATGGTTCCCTGAGGTCCTCCCGACAAAGCTAGAAAGCAAGTCTGAAAAATACAGCTGTCCACACTAACTTAGCCCATCAAAGAATAACAGAATAAAGACAACAAATAGCCTTTAAACAAGAATGACAAAATCTGGACGCTCAGCAGAGTAATGTGCATGGTGCTGCCTTCCAGGGAGAAAAGTCCCGGCTCTATAGATAGCAGGAAAGTGTGGCTCACAACTAAGAGAAGCATTAGGTAACTACAGTAGATGCGGACACGATACGATGACAGAATTAACATAAGGTATTGCAAACCATCTACTTTAAATATTTTCAGGACATTAATGGAGATTGTGAGTATATTTTAGAGAGAAATGGAAGATACAGAAAATGAACGATAGGTGAAATTAGTGGCAGATCAGACATGCAGAAGACTGACAAACCTGAAGACAAACAAAAACGATTCAAATGGAGGCAAAAAGAGAAAAGGGCTGAAAACACCTTATAAATATATGCAAAACTTCCAGTAATGAAAAAGGTGGGAGGGAGGGAACATGCAGAAAGGTGCATGTTTAAGGAGTGGCATATGACTCAAAAGTAAATTAAAGTGTGTGAGGTACACGTGGGAATTTCATAGCAAACACAGCATCTTGCAGTCTCAAATACAGCCAAGATCTAATTCTTTATTAACAAAGATAAACAAGTATGTCTATCTTACCAATATGCAAATTTTTAACCTTTAATAAATGGTAATATTCTATGACTTAATTTTAAATTTTAAAATTACTATTACCATTAAATGTTTGATTTGCTTACTTATTTTATGTATCTACACACCTGGGGTCCCATCAAAGTTTCTCTGGCAAAGAGGTTGCATGGGGAAACATGGGGAAAACCTTTCTATAAATCCCTGGCTGGCTAAGGATTTCTTTCCCCAGTGGGTTGGAAGCTTCATTTCCCACACTAATCTTTACATTCACCATTGAGGTAGGAAGGCTAGGTTTTCCATCTGACAAAAGAAACTGAGGCTGAGAGAGATTAAGCCATTGGCCCAGTGACTCTCAGCAGGTTCATGGCAGAACTAAGGCCAGAACCCCAAATCTCTAAGCTACCAGTCCTTCTGAGCATGCCTGATCCGTGCCCAGAACATGCAGATTATTGTCCTATCAAGTGTCAGCCTGGTGTCTGGGGTGACCCAAAAGAAAGATTCAGAAACGACGCAATTTGGGGCAAATGTTCAAAAGTCATGCATGTTATTCCTATAACTTGTCACCCTGGCAAATACTAGCTGAAATTTGGCTTCCAGGGGTAAAGTTTTATAACATCTCTGACTAAACAGTCAGAGGCCTGCTTAGCCCAAGAATACATTGTGGTTCACACTGGTCAGCTGTGAAAGTGTTGTCCATAATCCCAACTCCAGTGCCAAGCTCTGTAGTGCAAACCTTTTCCATGATAATTTCTCTCACACTCTTCCTCTTCCTGATTTTCTGAGTTCAGGATGTTATCTTTGTGAATATCAAATAAAGTCCCCTTATTTTCTATATCCTCAGATCATTCCAGTGAGGCACAGCTCATGTGACAGCCAGTAGCTCATGTGACAGCCGGGCCTGATCCAATACCACCTCTGCTGCTGAAGAACTGTGTACATCCCTGGTAAATAACTTAGCTGCCCAATCTTGGTTTCCTCACTGGAAAACTGTTCTGGGAAATCAGAGAGATGTAGCAGAACACGCCTGTAATCCAAGCCCAACTGGTGGAAGCAGGGGGATTGGTAATTAAAGGCCAGCCAGGACTACAAAAGACCCTGTTTCAAAACCACAAAAACAAAAACCTAGAGATGGCGAGAAAGACTACAGCAAAGACACTTCAAATGGCTGCCAGTGGGAATAGTAGTTCCATTCTAAAGTCAACCTCCAAATCCAGTTTCTTTAATTTCTGGCACAGAGGCGGCCTGCGTCTGAGGGCTGGCACCCTGTGCTAAGTGCTCCACTTGCTGCATTTCTTCCAATTTTCAAAGCAGCCCTGGGCTTGATGGAAATCACCAGCTTCTCTTTACAGGTGAGGGGACAGGCCCAGTGAGGTCAGATAACTTCCCTGAGGCATACAGCTGGTGAACGACATCTAAGGTTCTGTTTGTGACCCATGGGCAGATGGTGAGAGGCAGGGTAGCTTCTCTAACCCCACGCCCTCACCTCCAGGTTCCAGAGGCTCCCAGACTGCACACACATGCACACAAACACAGTGTTGTGCATGTACGCATGAGGATTGCAGTGCCTGTCTAATGTTCTGAGGGCCTGCAGAGGGGGCTCCTGAGAATCCTCAGAGGCATGCCCCTCTGACACAGGATGGCTCTGGCCTGGGTCCTGGAGGTAGCAAGGTTAGGGATTGAAGGCAGAAGACAGGCTCCACAAGCCAGTAGTACTGCAGAAGCCCTAGACAGACCTGCCGAGTGAATGGCCAGAGTCGAGTCTCAGTGATGTCATGTGAGTCTCTAGATCCACCTATGCCTGAAACTACAGCTATC